TGGGTAGCATTTCGAAATGTCTAATATCGATATGAAAATGCGCTTAATGTATACGGTGCGAATTGAGAACCCGTCGTATAATGTGGCGTGCCCGTCCTTAGCGCAAAATGAAGGCCCCGAGCCCGGTTGCACCGCAGGACGAGGAGGAGGACAGCCGACAGTCGAACGAATGTCGCGTTCCTGACAATAACCGGACTGCGCACACCGAAACCATTGACAGCGACAGCGACATGGAGTCGCTGCACGTTGCGCAGAAGGCGCCTACCAAACGGCAGATCGCGAGTCTTCCTAGTAGCTCGTCGTCATCCTCGTCCTCATCCTCCTCTTCGGAGGAGGACCAGAGCAGTTCTAGCACTAGTAGCAGTAGCAGCGATTCTTCCAGTTCAAGCGATAGTTCGGACGATGAGGTAAGATTTATTGGTCTTGCGATTAATTGGCAACATTGGTTACTTAACAAATAGTTTTGGGAACATTTTTTAACTTTTATAAAAATATATTTATATACATGCGCAAGAGTTTTATTTAATTTCACCGTTTGGCAAATTTTCTCACGCCCATTGACTTAATAAGGGAACTAATTCTAAATAAGAGCAATTATATTTGCGAAAATTTGAAATATCAATTGGCATTTAAATTTTATAGCCCCACTTTAAGCGTACGATCGAATTGATCTATTTTCATTTATACATCAATTACCATTATTTAGTTGATTCAATCGACTGTACTATATTTTGATAAGTCTAACATTTTATTTTGAGACCGTATTAAATAATGTGACATTCCGAGATTAATTGAAGAAGGGTATATTTCTTTCTTCTTGGATCTCCTTATGCGAATGGAATATATGTTTCATCTTTTCTTTTTTTTACCTCTCCACAAAAGTTACGCAACATCCAAATTCCCAAGCACTATTAAAAAGAAAATGAAAATTATAAATCATTCGCTTCGTCGATTCATAGTTACATTAAAATTATCCATATTGTTAAAAACCGAAGAAGACAAAATAATCTAAATGACATTTGCTATACAGCTTGGCGACTCGTTATCGGATACGAGACGACCACTGGCACGCGACAGCCAGAACCCCGATATTCTCAAAGAGCTGGCGGTGCAGAGGTCGTTGACCTGCCGGACACCAGTGAACGGCGATCGGACTCCAATACCGACTTTGGAGATATTCGACGGACGCGGCCAGGAAGACTTCCCTCAAATTGAGGATTATAACGAGGGCGACGAGGAGGGCCAGCGAGAGGCCTACCTCGCCGCGGAAACCAAAGAGGATTACAGGAAGAGGGAAATTAAGGAGGAGTCACTCAACGATGTCAAACCAAACGAGGTCAAGAACGCAAATGAACTTCTCGTTCAGAGACACGCATTGCCTCCGGAATGGGTGAGACGCGCATCAGTGGCGCTTGTTTATTTTATTTTGATTGTAAATTGACATTATTACGTAAGCTGAAGTATAATGATCGTCGCTCATAGTGGCGAATGTAGTCGTTTGTTATCTGATAAGATATAATTCAGTTTTAAAGGATTTTTACTTATGCTCAAAGTTTACGATATGCACATAAGGATTTTATTAGCTCGCTATATTTTTATTTTTTATTTTTTTTTTTTTTTTTTTTTTTTTTTTTTTTTTGTTTTTGTTTAACTATTATGAGCTTTTAATAGTAATCGAGAAAATTTGTTTTTAGTTTATTCTATGAAATCATAAAAGACAATTTTTAATGTATAATTATCACATCTATACGTACCTGATTAAAAGTATGCATACACATTTTATGACACGAGCATTACAAATAGTATGTTAGTCATAGGAAGTTAATTAAAATGAAGTTATTAATTTTAATGAATGATTCTTTTACCCGCATATAATGATTTTTCTAATTATTTATATCGCAGATATAGTATTGAGATCTCTACTTTCATGACTATTCTTAATCGCGTCGATTTATCCAATATCAATTACGAATATCAATATTAAAGCAAATAAAATGTCCCAAGTCTCGTTACATCCGATCATGAAGCAATGGCAATAAAATGACTAAAATTAATTAAAAAATTAATTTGCTAAAAATCAAATATTGTCCATAAACACTAAAATGATGATTGTTTTTTCTAATAGCCTGGTCGAGCAAGTACCGATTCAATTATAAGTGTCCCCGTGAAACAGGAGCCGACGGAATTAAACGCGCCGCACGATATCAGAAATATGGAGAACTCGGCGGTGGAGGCTCTGATATCACTCGCAGGCCACGATAATACTGTCACGAGGGTAGCAAGCCCAGTTGTTACCACAGCCCCTATAGTCGAGTCCAACATAATCAGGAAGTTGCAAACGATGTCCGATAGGTACATCAATGACGAGCCTATTCTCAAGGAGTCTGAAAAAATCGAAATGTTTAGTGAGATACCGACCGATGATTCTGAAGAAGAGAGTTTAGAAATTCGAAGGTACAATTGAATATTCTTATTTAGAATATATTAAAGAGGACTAATAAATGGAGAGCATTTTTTATACTATAGATAATCAGCTGTTATAATCAATTTTAATAATAGTAATGTTATTATTTAAAAGAGAGAAAAAAGGGACTAGAATTTATTTGATCATTGTACTATTATCTATAGTAATTATACTGAATACTACCTATTGTAATTATACTTTAGTGTAGACGTGAAACTAACATAATATTTTGTAAAATTTAATTTGTAATTTAAACAAATATTACGATATGTTAAATATTTATACGCTATCTTTAGATTCCAATCTGACGAAGATGGACAGAACAGAATTGGAATACAACCTAGATTACAAGTTTCTCGAGTTTATCTAGAGCATTCTTATTCTCTGCCGCCTGCTCTTGCGCAACATCAACAACATCAACAATTACAGCAGCAGCAACAACAGCAACAGCTGCAACAACAAATACAGCAACAGCTACAACAACAAATACAGCAGCAGCTACAACAACAAATACAACAGCCTTTGTTGGAGCAACAGTCACGGTTACAGCAGCAACAGCAAAAATTAATAACGTCGATACAACAGCCATTGGTTCTAACGCCGCCAGATATTCGTATTGGTGACACCGCGAAAACGGTGAAATCTGCACCTATAATCAAAACGTCAGAGAAATCCGATTTGAATACTTCCAATATCGCGAAGGAGCGTGCAGAGAAAAAGAAGAGTAAACACACAAAGGTACTCCTTCTTTTTATTTTTATTTTTTTTTAATTTATTCAATGTATTATTAGTAACTAGTTTTACAATGAATATAGCTTAAACATTTTTTTATTATCTTCTAAAACATCTGTCTATTTTGCGCTAAACTATAGAGAAATTAAATTTCATTTGTTAATAACTTTCTATATGTGTAGAATATTTCGTGTATCTTGTAGTAAAAAAAAAATTTAATTTCATATAATAACATGTTGATTGCTAAAAATATCCAAAAGTATAATTAAATCTATTATTTATATAAAAGTATATTTTTATATATTAATATAATCTTATAATGCTACATTAATTTTTCATGTAAACACTCATTCCAATATAAAATATATCATTATATTAATTAATAATTCAATTCAAATATTAAGTAATTATAAACGTAACTAAAATAGCAAAAAAAAAAAAAAAAAAAACCAAAAATGATAATTGTGAATCGTTATTTAAAGGTCAATAACAATGCCGTGCTACTGGAGAACAATCGTGAACGCGAAAAGGAGAATATTCGCGTATTACCATCATCGTATGGGTATGACAGAATGATGACACCGTCATCGATGCAGGAATCACTACCCCCAGCGCACCACTATGCGACACCAACTATTTACAAGGAACGCGATCTCATGTCCGAAATGGAGATACTTTACGAATTCCTAACACGTGGTATTGATCACGAAGACATTGAATACTTACGCAGGAGTTATGAAGCTTTACTTGGTGATGATACGCAGAGTTACTGGCTAAACGATACGCATTGGGTGGACCACCCAGCCACGGATGTGCCAAGTCCGGCTAAGAGGCGGAAGAGGGACGAAGTACGGTTGCACGTGACTGGCTGCGCCAGAACCGAGGGTTATTACAAAGTTGATATAAGAGAAAAATTAAAGCATAAGGTGAGATTCCTCTGTAGTTTTTTTTTTACGAAGTTTCAACGCATTTAATTTGAAATAGACAGACAAATTTACACGGGAATCGATTGAATTAAATGAATAGAGGATTTTAAAAATTTGTTACTTTTCCAAAAACTCTGAACTTTCTTTTCTGAACAAAATGTAGATTGTAATATCAATAAAACAGTTCCATAAGTCTGTGGTTGAATTTTTGTCAATAATACTATGTAATTAATGACTCTATAAATAATGTAAAGTAAAAAATAACAAATGACAGTAAAATAATATAGATTTTTCTCGGTAATTGTTATCGTTTATACTAAATTCAATTTACTTGTTGGTTAATGGTTAATTGTTATTTAATATTATATGACAAACAATTTATAGGTATTACCATTATGTGTTATATTATTCATTTTAAATATTTTTTCGTAGCACCATTATGCACAAAGTGTTCAACGAAACGAGGACATACGGGATAGTTCTGGAAATAGTAATCGCGTACTTGGTGGATTAGATGGAAGCGGTGGATTAACAATCAATGGACCAAAGGTTAATTCGAAAGCTTTGACCGGGAAAATGCAGGCATTGTCACGAGAAGCCAGGAGTAATCAGAGGCGCTTACTAACGGCCTTTGGTATTGACACTGACAGTGATTTACTTAAATTTAATCAACTGAAGGTATGGCATTAATTGATAAACAATTACTTTCTCCGTTTATATATAAATTAAAAAATTTTAAAATACGTATTGTTTTTTATTTTTTTTTTTTTTTTTTTTTTTTTTTTTTTTTTTAATATGTTAAATTTGCTAGTTTCATTTATTATTGTAGTTTTTTTCTTGTAAATACATAAAATGTATTTACAAAATATAATTCACTATTATGGAATTTTCATTTAAAAATTTTTAATATAAATTGTAGTTTATTTAAAACTTGGTTGAAGCCTCAATATATTATTTTAAATTCTTTTAACATTTAAACTATTATTATATTTTATAAATATTAATTAAAACTCTTGCCTGATCTATTCATTGCTTTTTGTAGTTCCGGAAAAAGCAATTGAAGTTTGCTAAATCTGGAATTCACGATTGGGGATTATTTGCCATGGAGCCAATAGCAGCTGACGAAATGGTGATAGAATATGTCGGACAGATGGTTAGACCAGTAGTTGCTGATCTGCGTGAGGCGCAATACGAAGCCACGGGTATCGGCAGTTCCTATCTATTTCGTATTGACTTGGATACAATTATCGATGCGACTAAATGTGGAAATCTTGCTCGATTTATTAATCACAGCTGCAATGTAAGATTACATAAAATATACACAAATATAAAAATAAGCTCTTGTAAGGTTTATGAAATGTTAATATTAATATTATTGTTATAAAAGTTATTCTTATATAATATGAATAATTTTTAAATTAAAATTAGACTCATAGGAGCTTAAATTCTTGATATTATCAGTCATATAATAATGTTTTGTACTTTTTTCTATAGCCTAATTGTTACGCTAAAGTTATTACAATCGAGAGCCAGAAAAAAATTGTGATTTATAGTAAACAACCAATTGGAGTTAATGAAGAAATAACGTATGACTACAAATTCCCACTGGAAGATGATAAAATTCCTTGTTTGTGTGGAGCACCTCAATGTCGAGGAACTCTTAATTAAAAAAAACTCATTTTATATTGCTTCATCATGCTCATCTCTCCCATTTTCCTTCTCTGTACTAGGCATTGTGCATTGTGTCTCACTCATATTTTTGTAAATAAAAAAAATCTTCATGTAAACGTTTTATAAGAACATACAATGCGAGTTATTATTATTTAGTCTCCTTTAGTTTCTTATACATATAGCTCAAAATCGTTATTATTTAAATATTAAAAAAGGTATGTATTTAAAAAAAAGAATCAGCTTATAAGCACAATTTTTTATTTTCACTTGACTATTGATATTGCTGTAGCAATAATCATTGTGCATTGTTTGTGGTTATGAAAATGGTATTTTAACTACAGGTGAGTGTGGTTTCTTTTATGTATTAGTTACAAAAGTTTTTTATTTTAATTATATGCATTAAAATTGTTTTCGTGTGTTTAGCTCAATTTACCTTGATACAATTTATTTTACTTCTTGCAAACCAATAAATAACTATAATTTGTACAAATGAATAATTTATGAAAAATAAGCAATTATAAAATTATATCACAAATAAAACTGATTATATAAAATAAAGATAAAAAATTCATATTTGTTTTTTAATATATATTACTTGCTTTTAATACTTCTATAACTTATATTACTTATTTATATTATAAAATGATTTAAAAATATTTTACACAGTTTTATGTAAAGTGCACTTATGGAAAATATATATATGGACTAATTTTAATAAGAACTATATTTGTGTATAGTAAATTTGTTATTGATTAATTCTTAAGTATATAAAATATTTAATTTAAATTTTGTAAACTAACAATTTATATAAAATGTATGCATCAATATATTTATTTTGTGTGTGTGTGTGTATGAAAAATGCCAATCTTGACAAATCGCTGAACTTCGTGATACAGCGTACAAAACATTTTGTACACTTGCGGATGTAGATACCAGCACGTGGATATTATAGAAGGAATATTTTGGGAATAAAATGTCTTTTTCAGAGTTAAAACTTTTTGAAAAACGAGCAAGTGCTGCGGTACGATCAATTCATTAATATTTTTTGTGTATAATATAGAAATTAACTTATAAAATATGTCGGATAAGAACTCGGCTTTGTTAGGTTAACTACTTCGCATGTAAATTCATTGTTGCCCATATTTATTATTACAGGAAGAAGAAATCGATTTTTTGAAGAAAGAATTAATAGAAATCAAAAACATTTTAGACACTGGTAAAGTACCGCTAAAAGAGGAAACTGCGAGTAAAGCTGAACTGGAGAGTGTTAAGAAAGAAAATGAAAAACTCAAAATGCAAATCGACATATTAAAAAGAGTAAATATATTGAATTAGAATTTTTAATTAAATCGACACTATATTTAATGAAATGTTAGTGGTCTACATTTTAATCAATAGGAAATATATTATTTGTAGACACTTGGAGAACGTAAATCCAAACACTTTGCCCTCGCTAGTAGTTTATGTAATACCGATAACATGGTCAGTATAACTGTTACATTATACACACTATTTGAAAAGGCAATCAACGAAGCATATCCAGACGTAACCGATCCACCAATTATAATAGCACCTAGTAATAATTCAAAATTTGGAGATTACCAATGTAATAGTGCTCTTCCGCTTTGTAAGTTACTTTCAAGTACCAATTTAGAAGGTAAATGATTCAAATGAACAATTAGTAAATTATATAAATAAGATTTTTGTATCTAACTATAAATTCAGTCTGTTTCTATTAATGGTATATTATGTTTGTTAGGAAAACAGAGAATTTTACCTAAAGATGTTGCTGAAAAGATAGTTTCTAAAGTATCCAGTTCACCTTTGATAGAAAAGTTAGAAGTTGCTGCAGCTGGATTTATAAACATTTGTTTAAAACATGAATTTGCTCAAATTGTACTTAAAAATATTTTAAAGAATAATAAAATCTGCGCTCCGCCTATAATTCGAAAACGTAAAGTCATTGTTGATTTTTCAAGTCCAAACGTTGCAAAAGAGATGCATGTTGGTCATTTACGTTCCACCATTATTGGAGATAGCATCTGTAGACTACTAGAATTTTTAGGTCACAACGTTTTAAGGTTGAATCATATTGGTGATTGGGGAACACAATTTGGAATGTTAATCGCTCATTTGGAGGACAAATTTCCAAACTACTCGACAGAATCTCCTCCAATTTCAGATCTCCAAGTAATTTTACTAATGATAATAAATGATGCATTATACAATGTATGCTCATAAAACTTAATTTTTTTTTAGAGTTTTTATAAAGAATCCAAAATTCGATTTGATAATGATGAAGAATTTAAGAAAAGAGCTTATGCAAATGTTGTAAAATTGCAAGCTTGTGAGCCTAAAATTATTCAAGCTTGGAAATTAATTTGTGATGTTTCAAAACAAGGTATAATATAATTTAAAATGAAATTTATAAATAAATTATTCAGACATTTGTTTTTAATGTTTGTTTTTTTTTTTTTTTTTTTTTTTTTTAAGAATTCCAAAGTATTTATGATAGATTGAATGTTAATTTAATCGAACGAGGTGAATCGTATTATCAGAAGCATATGGAAAACTTGGTTAAAGATTTAGAAACAAAACAATTTTTAGAAGAGGATGATGGTCGTAAGATAATGTGGGGTGAAAATAAAAATGGAATTCCACTAACTGTAATTAAGCGAGATGGAGGATTTACTTACGATACATCAGATTTAGCAGCACTTAAACAGCGAATAATGGAAGAAGGAGCTGAATGGGTTTGTTGTTAAACTACTCTACTTAAACTTTTCTATAATATAGAGGATTAATAAAATTTATTTTAATTTTAAAAAAATATTAAATTATGAAGTAGATCATAAAATTAATACTCAATTGAAAATTATAGTAATATTTCCATTTATAGATAATATATGTCACAGACGGAGGTCAAGCAACCCACTTTCAAACAATAATAAGTTGTGCTAAAAGAGCAAAAATAGTTTTAAGCTGCCATAGAGTAGACCATGTGGGTTTTGGAGTTGTACTTGGCGAAGATAAGAAAAAATTCAAAACTAGATCTGGGGATACAGTGAAGTTAAGCGATTTGTTAGACGAAGGTAATACATTAAGTCTTATTAATTAATGAACACGAACCTACTAATTAACATGCTATCATTAAAATTATTACAATGACCTTGTCATTCGTTATTAGAGCCATCTAAAATATATGCATTTTATTTAGTTTCTAATTATACTATATTTAAAATAATTGAACACATACATAATCATAGATTAATGATAATAACCTTTTATAATTTATTAATTAGTTAAATGTCTTATACTTTAATGATTAGGCTGTATAATTGCCTGAATTTATGTAATTAAAGACAAGTGATATAAGCAGGCAATAATTACTTATTATAATGAATCCATTAAAATTATCTATCCAAGTCAATGTATAATTATTAATTATTTAATATTACTTACAATTTATTATTAAATATTAAAGCAACTTTAATGTTTACTCATTTAAAGGTCTTAAAAGAGCAGAGCAGAAATTGAAAGAAAAAGAACGAGATAAAGTTCTAACTGAACGGGAATTTAACTTGGCCAAAGAATCTATTGCTTACGGTTGTATAAAATATGCTGATCTTTGTCACAATAGAAATCATGAATATGTATTTTCATTTGATAAGATGCTTGAGGACAAGGGTAATACCGCTGTATATTTACTCTATGCTCTTACGAGAATTCGTTCGATAGCTAGAATGGCAAACATTACACGAGATCAAATAAAAGAGACTGTAGATGTAACGCCTATTTCATTGGATCATCCGAAGGAGTGGCAGTTGGCAAAAGTAATATTGAAATTTCCAGATATTGTAATGAAAATTGCAAAGGATTTATGTCTTCATAGCTTGTGTGAATTCTGTTATGAGATTGCCTGTACGTTTACTGAATTCTATGATAATTGCTATTGCGTTGAAAAAAATCAAACTGGAGAAATAGTAAAAGTAAATATGGGCCGTATATTATTAACTGAAGCGACTGCGATGATGTTGGAGAAGTGTTTAACTCTACTTGGATTGAATTCTGTTGAAAAAATGTAAAAAAAAATGTACCAACGAACATTCATTATGAAAAAAATTTTAAAATCTGTGAACCTTAAATGTAACAAGTGTTTTTAAACAAATAAATATTTATTCCATTTTCAGATATAATTATTATTTGGTTTCAAAATCATCAAGTAATAAACAATGTTTATAATTAATAATTTTTCATAATCAAATAAAGTGGAATTTGTCGAATTAACAAATATTTGTAAATTATATAAACTTACTCTTATAATACTTTTAAAAATTATTTTAATAGTATACTTTCATTATGCGAAAATGTTTGTTTTATGGATTTAATTATAATTAAATGTATGCATAAATATTTTTAAAATAAATATTTTTATGATGGCTTATTAAAGAATATTTTATTTATGATTTATTCTTATATTAATTAATTAACGACAATAAACAATATTATTTAATAATGTTATGTGTAAATTTAATAAATTTTTTTATAGAATTCAAATGCAGAATCATTCTATTACGATAATAAAATTTTGATTGAATCATTTTTATTAAAAATTGTTACTCTATTGATATAAATGAATTATATTTTTTTATCTTAAAATGATTTTATTTTTGTATATAATTTTACAATATTTCTTACATAATGTTTTGTATACATAACTGAATTAGATTATTAAAAATTACAATTTTTTAATTAATTATATTAAGATGTTTTAACATGTAAATATATATATATATATATATATGTATAATTTATAAATTAATCAATATTTTTCTTGACAGTTTATTGTACATTGGCGAGAATCTAAAAGGGGTTAATTAAACATTGTTTATTCATAGTGCCTTCAATAATAATAAAATGAAAAAACATTATATAAAAATCATGTAAATTAAATTCTTCAGTTTAACTTGTAACTTCTTTAATAATCTCTGCATGTTATTATTAAATATTTATATATAACTAAAACAAAACACAAAAGTGAATTGTAATATTTATAACAATATTAATTTATACAATATTGAATATTTTTTTAAATAAAATTAAAAAAAAAATAATGAAAGTATATTTACTATTATTTTCTTTTAATTATTTTTGAGTTCTCTAACCAATATATATATCAGTCTTCTTTCTAAATTATTTAATAAATAGTACATATATTAATTTTTTTTCAGAGTTCTTTTGATATGATGGAAATGTACAATTAATAAAAATAACTCACGTAAATTATTACATAAAACCGTAACATAAAGTAAAATGAAAATTTACTTTGAGATAATGTTAAGATATATATATATATATATATATATATATATATATATATATATATATATATATATAAACACGCACTGATAATGTTAAGATATATATATATATATATATATATATATATATATATATATATATATATATATATATTAAAGCACGCACTCTTAAGTGTATTCTTTAAAAAATATAATAAAACATTTAAGAAATTTCCAAGCACATAATAAATCGAACATATTAATATTATTAGAATTTATTATTTTGTGCTATATCTTGTAGATCGGTTCTCGGTTATTAGCCAAAATCCTGATAAAAATCAGAATGACGATGTAATAGAATGATTTATAGTCCCATACGAGCCGCAACGTCAAAAGTGCCTGTTTCACGAGTATTATTAAGATATAAGATGCGCGCAAAAGTTCAAAATGTGTTTATAAAATTTATTCTAATGTATAAGATATATAAAAAGTCGATCGTTCGATCCATAAAGCAAAGAGATTGCGATAAATTAGAGACAATCGGGAGAGCTGCTTCCAGATAACAATTATTTGCAACGAGTTGCAAGCTTCTATCGCAAATTCGTAGCCGATGGGTAGCTAATTTAATCCCAAATGCGTTGCTGTCGTACATTCTAAAATTAAAATGAATCAACGATTGGTCTGTCCAAGCAACCGACACCAAAGATGATCGTTTATGTTAAATTATCGATACGCGCAACTAAAGCAATGACACCTGTCTCCTATAGAGGAGCGATGACGCGCAAGGCTGAAGTTAACCCTTTAAACGATCTAAGACGCTCGACTATCTCCTGACGATTTAGCCATAAATTGTTCGAATAACTCATGCCTTTTCCCCCTTTCATCCACGTCGATCCAAGTAAATTTAGAGATTAAATCCCATTAAAGTCCATCGGTTTGGCTCCTACTCAAATATTCCAAATCCGCGGTATCTGGGATATCTGAAATTGTAGACATCGTCGTAGCCGTGCGTAGCTCGGTGGAACGGAATTAATTATAGAATGACCCAAAATGGCCCTTGAGCATACTTGCAGCGTAGGTTTAATAAGAGAAATTAAATGGTTATCCACTGTTTATGAGTGTTATATTCTTCCGAATGTACAATTAACTGTGTCGTCTGGTTAAATGTAGTTTAATTAGTGCTGGTCGTAGTTTCATAAGAATTGTATTAGAGGAATTAAAACATTATGATTCATACGATCATAAATATATGAAATCAGGATATAAAAAGTTTGTTGTGCGAGGAGGGGCTATTCTGCAGCATATTCTTATCTGTCTCTTTGTGTCTTTGCTATCGTTATGCGCGAACATGTTCTTGGGCGAAGAGGTGCTGCTTAGAATGTGCTGAAGGATTAAAAAGGGCAGATTGTTGTCGTCGAGCAGCTCTGGTGAGCAAGTAATTATGCCTGATGTCGTCTGATCCCGATTGCCGATGATGTCGCTGATAGTACTGAGCGACTAAATCTGCTCACATTACGAATTATTATACGATTATGCGTCAGGTAAAAGCAGGTACCATGAAATTGTTCGTGGTATTGCGCGGCTTCCTGGTCCCAAGTTTTTCTTGACTTATTGTAAACAAGAAAACGACGCCTGGAGAAAACGGCGAATACATAAACGTTGTCGCTAAATGCGAACGTTTACAATAATATAATGGGACTCCGTACGCATCATTTGCATATTATTCTGTTTTTTTTCTATTCGTAGAATTTACTGATTGCGACTATTATTCGCCGCGAGTTATAATTATCGCCTGTGATATATAGCGTTTAAGTGGCAATTGATATAAACAACGTCATCATTGGTCACTGATATCGTTTTAAGGCCACTGTAATTAATTCAAGAAATTGAAAACGCAATTGTAAATTGCAGTGTGCTTCACGGACAGAGTGCATGTGCTTATATATGCGCGTAGAAGGAAAAATAGGAGAAACGTAGGTGTAGGGTGTTAACAGCGAAAATGAGTTGGCTACGAAGTAGTCCGCTCAGGAGTAGTTTTACGAAGCAACGCTCCAGAGATTCGCCACCCAAGGACGCTGATCCAATTGCCTGCTATGACAGCTTTCGCGAACACTGGCAGCAAAGCCATGTTATTATTTGTCATTCGATCGTGAGTTAATATAATTTATACATAACCTCTATTTGTGTCTGGTGACACAGGCCTAATATTATTACTATTATTTTTCATTCTTCAAACTATTGCGCGCAAAAATTTGGAATCTCGCAATATTTGAATCATCGTAACAAAAAATTCATTTTTACGACGGCCTTTATATCCAAGTGTTTGGTTAAATAAAACCGCCTTGCAGTCTAATTTTTACAATATTTTTTATTTAATAAAAAGGAATTGCGAGCTATTAAGTTATAACAAAATTATTCTAATACGCCATTTGTCTTAATAAAACATTGTATTATTTGAATGCCTAGCCTCCAAAGGGTATTCCTAGTCATGATGATGTTTTGGGCGTTGTTAATCACGTTGAACAAATGATAATGTTATTACTTCTGGAGCTACGCGACTTTTCTCTTCAGCATAGACATCAGAATCAACGATTGCAGCAGCGAAACATGATATCCGCGGCTCAACTCAACACCCATTGCTCTCCTTGCCTCGAATACTTATTAAGTGAAAATCTTCTCGATAAGCTATACGAATGGAGTAATCATACTGGAAGGTATATAATCAATAATTTATCAAATCAATAAATCTTTTCTAGAAATTCATAATATTTATAATACAAACTTTCCTATACTAATTGGAAAATTACAGGTTCGGAGATGCCGTGCGATTGAAACAACTGAAACTTTATGAATTATTAATATCTCATGATAGTTCTCTCTTAGCTCATGAGCCAGTAACAAGACCTTTATTGCATTTATTAGATAAATGCGCTGGTGACATAATGCTTCCAGAAGTACAAAAGAAGTTAGTCGTCTTATTGAATTATGTATGCGTTTCGCTTGTTCAAAACACTGAACTTTTGGGACTGTTCTTTCGACCGACAGCAACAGGAAGAAATCGGTTTGTATTTGTATTTAATTAACTTTCATATTGTGATAAAAAAAAAGAAATATATTATTAGTCAAAGTGTATAAAGATTTCCATATTAAGTGTATCAATATGACCAAAATGAAACAATTAAGCTGGGTAATATTTTTTTTTTTTGGAATCATACATAGAGCAGCACCATAAAAACAATATTTTATTTATTTAACAATATCGGGAAGAATAGTTTTCTTTAAATATAAATTTCTTATCTAGATAATAACGCAAATTAAGTAAAAATAATGTTCTAGTTTTATCATATTTACGCTATTAACTCCATATATACATCGAGAGGGGGGAGTTGGTCAACAAGCAAGAGATGCCATGTTATTGTGTATGTCTCTTTCAAAAAAAAATGATGAAATTGGAAATTATATCGCAGATGAATCCCATATTTGCTCCGTGAGTATCATATTTCTTAACATTTGTGTCTAATATTGAATATTGTTATTTTTAAAATAAATCGATTACTATGTAATAAGTATAATTAAGTAGATTTAATTTAATAAATTTAATAAAATTAATTTAATAAAAAAAAAAAAATAGAAAAAAATTTAATTAATAGTTATAATACAAATTCTATAAAGTAATTTTTTAAGAATTATTATTTATTCTATAGAAAATGAATTCTTATTTTTTGTATTCTGAAAGAATTCTTTATTGAAACTATTGTTAATAATTGTTCATTAAGACTTGAGTTTAATTGAATGTATATTGTAAAATTTAGGTATTAGCAACTGGTCTTAGTGGCTTGTACTGCCTACTTCCAACAACATTAGATATTGACAGTGAAGATTGGCACAGACTTACTGTCGATGATATCAATGACTTACCAGCATTGACTCAATTAATGAATTCTTTAGAGTTTTGTAATGCAGTTACTCAAGTTGTTCATCCTTTGGTGCAAAAACAATTGTTAGAATTTTTGTATCGTGGATTTTTAGTTCCTGTCATAGGTCCAGCACTTCTACAGGTATTTTAGTAGGTAGAAAGTTGCGTGAATCATCTGGATTCTTTTATTAAATTAAATGTTTAATTTAATTAACATTATTAATAAGTCGCAAGCATGTTCCAATGTCGAAATTTTTATGATATAGAATTTTTCACAATTGAATTTGAGTTATATATTATTATATCTTTAAAATACGTACTTAAAGATTTTTATTCATGAACAGATCATTGTTTAACCATTGTTTAAAGTTTAGTTATAAATTAATAAAAAGTAACAATTTATAAATTATTTACTATAGAAATTTTTAATGAAAGTAAAAATTAATTAAAAAATATAAATATTTAAATATAAATATGTGAGTGAATTTAAATATTTATTCAAATTTACATTTAAAATCTATATTATCGACATTAGAATTTCTAACTTTATGTGGAAATTGATTTATTCACTTATGATTGTTGTCTTGTGTAATGGTAATGGTGGCTTTAATCTTTAAATTGGTAATGATAACTTTTTGTATCATTCTAAGGATTCTATTGGTTTGGCCTTGGATGAACTTGATTCAACAGTTTATCGGGTTCGTATTTTTCGCGTTTAGTATGTTTCAGCTTTTGTTTGTCCTTACCTTTCTTTCTGCATGAACTCTTTTGACAATCTTGTTTTATATCTTGTATATTTTCTAATATGTAATATAACTTTTTCTTCTTTTTTATTAACATTAACATTCTCTTTATTAATAATATTGTACATATTTAAAACAAAATAAAAAATAAAAATTCAAAATTAAGAAAAATAAAAAAAAAATAAATTGCACTGCTTTATCTTATTGCAGAAGAATGACGTGGTCTTCATTCAAGAAATATGTAGTTGGTTCTGGAAGCACGTTTTCACGTATATTCTGCGTTTTGAATTGTATAACAAGTTTTTAAAGCTAGTTTCATCGTTATTAATAATAAAGTTATTACGCTTCTGACAGAGCCCTCATTAATAAATAATATTTTATTTTATAGACAACCTCGGATGAATTGGTTGCAGCAACAGCATATTTCGACTTATTTCTTCGATCGGTCACTGAACCTGGTTTACTGCAATCATTGATTAAATTTTTGTTGGAGGAAAATTATGACGATAATCGGATATTAGATCATCTTATTCGGAGAATATCTTCTCAAAGATCTAGAGTATGATTTTTTATTTTTATTTTAAATAATTTTAATGTAATTTAATCTGTATTAACGAAAGTAATTCCTACCAGAAAACATTTATTTCAACTAAAAAATTGGCCTTCTATGATTCGTTAATTGATGCATTATTAATACAATTCTTATATTTTATTTTTTACAAATGCATTTACATTTTAAATTATATATATATGTATATATGTATATATATATATATATATATATGTGTGTGTGTGTGTGTGTGTGTGTGTATGTATGTGTATATGTATAATAATAAGTCGAATTTTTAGTAAATGATAAAATATTTGTACATTTTTTATTGTATAGTAGTAACAAAATCTCTGTAAGAAATATATAGTTTTAAATACTGTCAAAAGGCATATATTTTCATCTTGTACTGTTATTTTATTTATAAAATTGCTTAATCTAAACAAATATTGAGATAATATAAAAGATAAACTTTGATATTTCAACAAAACTATAGTGATTTTACTTAACCCTAGCCAATGAAGATCTACGAAATGGAGAGGAAAGAAAGTATTCCTTAATATTTTTTAATGATTTCCTTTAGTTAAGCATGGTAACGCTGGCGCTGTTTGAGACGTTGGTTGACTTGAATTGCGAGGACGTGATGCTAGAATTGTGCCTTGGGGCCCTTGCCCCCTGCTCCCACGTAATGTTATCCCAGCGGCGGAGATTACTTCGCGACCTGGATCCCTTCGGTCGTTGCGCTGAAAAATTCCTCTCGCTCACACCAAATTGCTGCGCTGTCGCCTCACCGTCCATCTACATCGCCGCAGCGGCCATCGCTTCCGTCTCACCCAACTCTTCTCCAAATCTCCTTCGCCAGGCATCTAACATCAGCATCCCAGCTACTACAGGCCAAGTTGTACAAGTAAGAACGTTTACTTCTTGGAATATATCATGAGGCGGTATTATAAATTATATTTCAAAGAAAGAAATTTAAACGTTTTATGTTGAGTAACGCGAGATTTTACTTTTGTAATTTATAAAATTGATAAATTGCTATCAATACATTTTCAAATATGTATTTTTTTTCTTTTAGAAACAGAGTTCTGCATTTAAAAATGCAAAATTATCAACAGCTATGATGGCAGACAGTTTATATAATAATTATTACGCTTACTTGAGGGATGCCAGGCAGAAGATTGCTGCTTGTCAGTTGGCTTGTACAAATTGGTCAAGAAGGTACGAAGACGAGGAGGAAGATGTCGACGAATCGGACAACGAAAATTGTAATTGCAACGAGTATTGCAATGAGAATTTCAATGACTCAAGTATTTTCAACAGTGCCCATAATAGTCAAGACAAAGATGCCAATGACCGGATTAACAGTAATGATGGTAATCAACATTTTGAATAAAAATAAAAATATAAGTAATATAACAGGAACAACAACCAAACTGTTAATCAAGTATTGTTAAATAATTTTTACATTAAAATCATGAGCGTAATCTTATTAGACTTTTCTTGTCGAATATAAACTGATTTCTAAATACGATAAAGTTTTATTATTATATTATTAAGTAAATTAATAGTAACGTTGATAAAAATATCGCAATGTTATTAATGTTTCTGTCAGCTATTCGCACGAGTCAAAATTCAGTATCAAGAAAAAATAGTACCGTAGAAAATGCAGGCAGCATTCGTTTAAGTATTTCGGACCAATTAGCAATAAAGCCAGAGGTTGAATTCGAGTTCGAGCCGAACGAAGTGACGAGTCAACTCACGCAAGCCGAGAGGGAGAAACTGAATGCCGATATCGCTGAATTGCTCGGAGAGAAGATCGAAGATCAAAAATTCATCCGAGCACCTGTAACCGTAGATCCTAAAATGCTAAGTATCAATGCGAACGAGTCCAATACGACGTTAAATTCCCTGCAGCTGTCACTCAGCGGCGGTGAGAGCAGTGGCTACGAAAGTTTCGCCTTCAAAGGCTCCAATGAATCGACCCCTGTGAATGACTACGACGACGAAAGTTGTAGCGACTCGAAAAAGAGCCCCGTAAGAGCTTCAAAATCCGCAATTGTTGAAAAGAGCGAAGCCTCGAGCCAATCACATAGAAACGGCAATCAGTTACATCACCATCAGCAAAAATCGGAACAACCCATGACATGTGATAGTCGTCGAATGCAGATGCAAAGACGACGTCGTTTACAGAGAAGAAGTGCGATTACGAAAAATGCAGCTGCCAATCGGCAGCAAGACATCGTTGACGGTCAGCCTCCTAGCGTTGGCATTTTTCTAGATATTATATTAAAAAAATTGGAGTGTATGACTGACAATAATGTTTATGTCAATTTGCATTTGACTGGTTTAATCAGCCGCCTTGCCATTTATCCTCAGCCTCTCTTGCAGTCCTTTTTACTAAATCACTCGTTAGTCTTTCAACCGAGCATCAGATCACTGTTCCAGGTAATCTAATCGTGACATCAAATTGTAATTTATTTCTATTATTTTCTATATTTGAACGGACATTTTTATTTCTACGTTTTACATAAATGCAACAAAAAAAAATCTTTAAATAATTCATTTTTAATAAGACTTTTAGTTTAAATTCTTTCAATTTTTATTGAAAGAAAATATTGATATTATTACTATTAATTTTGATTAATATAAGTATAATTATAATTTTAAAAGGTTCTTGCATCGTTGAAACATAAAATTGATGGATTTATTTTAAAACAACAAGAAGATGTTAGTATTCTCGTAGAACAAGCTAGAGTATTTTTGATATCTCGAGAAAATAGGTTAGTGAATGCAAGAAAAAATACTCTTGAAGCTGCTGCTCAATTTCCCAATTCGAAAAAACATTATGTGGGTGGAGAATTAGTTTGTACAAATGCATCGATGCAGCCAATGCCAACAAGAGGTACGATCCTATATTATTACAATATTTGCCCATACGTATATTGCTTTATTCATTTAACATTATTAAATAATACTAACAATAAAATACAATATAAAATTCTTACTTTAGAAACATGAATTTTTATTCTTAAGGAAGTCATTATTTTTATATTATATTATGTCTAACAATATGTGTACTAATTGAATAATAATTGAGTATGTAATATGTGTTTGTAATTGTTTAGTTATAGAGCCGAAAAGAAGGAGTTTAACGTCCTCGTTAACACAAATATTTAGAAAATCCAGTAGTCTAGAATCGAATGTAATGAGCACAGAATCTTTGAACAGTAACGATTCATTTGCGTACATTGCTGAAGAGGAAACGAAAAATGGCAATTTGAAAAACAAGTAAGTTTGAAAATTAAATTGTGAAATCAGTTATGAATAACAAAGAAAATCTAATTAAATATCATAATTTATTTTTAGTAATAGGTATTATGATCAAGGCTCATGGGAGCTGCCGAAAAAGTTTGATCACGTTCAGAATATCGTACTTTGTGCAGTAATATTGGATGAATGGCTCAAAGAACTCGCAGCTATAACTCAGGAGCATACAATTATTAGTTGGTTCACTACGAGTACCGCATCAAACAATTCTAAATTTCAGTCCTGATTGTTTTGGCTTATAAATGAAAAGTATAACTATAATTATTTATAAGAAAGTCAATGAAAATAATTCTAGGATTTCTCTTAAATATTTAAGAATTATTTTCAACATAAAATTTTATTATTAGCCCTTTATTATTAAACCATTGCAATTTAATATAAAATTTTTTTAATTTTAAAAATTATCGTGGTAATGTGCAATCCGTTATAATTATATCTATGAAAAATAATTTGTGACTTTTTATAGAATATAATTAATAATTAATGAATACATTATTCTGTATCGTTTAAAAACATTTTTAGTACATAGAGTATTTTATCTTTTATAGAAATTTTTTATTTGAATTAATTTTATAATTTTAATAGAAATGTGGAGTAAATTAATAAAAAGTAGGTAAACATTGCGCATAGTGACGGATAAAGGGTTAAATTTAGGAAAACAAAGTATGTAAATTGAAATATGGCTACTACATGAAATACGATATGTCAATTCCAGATAGGAAATACCATATATATATATATATATATATATATGCACAAATAGTTTCTAATAAAATAGAAATAAAGAAATAGAAAATAATAAAACAAACAAAAAACAAATTAATACATAATATTATATGTAAAATTGTTGCGCGATCGGTATAATTGAATTACAAACTAACACAATTATATATTTGTAATTTTATTTATTGGTAACACCTATACTTAGGTGTAAAAATTAATGCAATTGATAAATAATATACAAAGATAGGTTTGTGCCAAACGTATAAATTTAAAGAATTTAATGTTTGAATTGACTACATTGGGGGTGTTGCAGCGTTTAATTAACAAATATATACAATTTAAAAGTTTGTCCAATTATAAAAGAATATAAATCGAATTTTATTAATTTTAATTTCTAAATGTTATATAAATTGTATATAAAATAATAATCACTTTAACAATTATTGTTGATTGTAATACGTATATATTTTATTATAGATCTATAAACTAAAATCTAATCTATTTAAAAACGTATGAAATGTAAGGATTAAAATTAATTTAATTATTTAAATCGGTAAATTAGATATATAAGGATTCATTTAAAATTAGAAAATATAAAAAGTTAAAATGCTTTGAAAATTAAATTCATTGAAAATATAAAAAAAAGTATCGAGCAAATTAAACTACTGCATTTTAACCTTTTAAATATATTTTCCTTTATTGTTTTATTTGTGAATTTCAATTCACAATAAAGATTAAAACAACGTAAATAAGGGATTACGTCGTAATATTTAAAAATTTTTTTTTTTTATAGTAATATTTTTATCTAACTTATTAATTTAATAATTTATATAAATTATATTCTATAAATTGTTATATTATGTTAAGATATTCATTTAGACATATTATCTCTTGTTACATAATGGATAAACACAAATTTAAGTCTTCTTTAGTTGCCACCCCCTTTTATTGATCGTATAATACATATGCATTGATCACTTTTCTATACGAACTGATATAGATATAACGAATTTATATTAACTAACTTTTATATTATATTTGTTATCATTTACCAATCGCGCAGTTGTGTAGCAAATACATTTGCTTATACATAATTGTATAAATAAAATTTTATTGTATCGAGACTGATTTGTAAGTATGACATTTTACACGATACTTAAGTGAAAGACAAATCAAATCTATATGTCTAAAGTATTCAAATTTTTAATCATAAGAGAAAAAATGCTTATTTAAAAAAGAAGTGTTATTCTTGTTATTGTTATTATTATTATTATTATTATTATTATTATTATTATTATTGATATTTTATAATTACATAGGTATGTAAGAATTTGGAATTTGGAATACCAGATAATTTTTTTATGTAATAATCTACACCGAATTTTCCTATGTATAAAATTGTGTCTTAAATAAGATAAGAAATTAAATTTCACATTATAGGCATATCTAATAATCTTTGATATGCTATAATTAAATCCCTTAATAATCGCCGAAAAGATCGTATTTACATATTTTCTTATTAAATTATATATAAAACAAGCAATCAAATATCACTGCCAATTATTAAAAAATTCAATACTTTAAGTAAATAATTAATTTAATTGAAATAATTTAGACTAAAAATGGACTGCAAATACACATATTATAAAATTATTTGTTCATATATTAGTGGTATTAAACTGAACGAAAAAATCCGTAAATGATATTTGGATTTTATATCTGATCTTTAAGCGATTATTTAACTGGATGAATTTTTTAAGTATTAATGCTTAAGCAAACATGACAGCAACTGAATTATTTTTAAATTAAGATTGAATCATTTTGCATAATTTGTAAAAATATTATTATATAAAAATCACCACTAGAGTGATAAAAATATTTATGTATATAATAGTTTATAATTGTAAATAACAAAATTAAATTTAATAATCCTTAATATTTATATGTGTCTTTTATTCATTAATATCATTATAGTAAACTTATAAACTCTAGTATAATAATTTATTGTTTTGATGTAATCTTTAGCTCGTATTTATTTGAATAGAATTTCAAATATAGATTTTTTAGAGAAAAAAAATACTAAAAGTCTTTTAAGAATTTTCAAATTTTTCATTTTACACTTTAAAAACATTTTCCTTCTTGGCATCACTATTTATTAGGATTTATTTATTAATTAATATATTTCTTTAACAACATATAAGAACTACAATCGCATGGTTCATTTCAAGCTAAAAATGAAATAGCTACGTTGCAGTTTTCTCAAAATTGTATTTTTTTATTAAATCGTAATATTATTTGCTATTGAACGATAATTATTTTCGAAGAATTACAAAATTTTCTTATACGTTTTGCAGTCTCATTCACCTTGGAATTTTTAAGTCAATTATAATAATATAGATGGAATATACGGGAATTAATATTAAATAAAGCATGACTTCGCTGCATTAAAGATTTTAAAGATAAATATTATGTTGCGAAGCTCCTTTTTTATATACTACTTTTAATAGTCTCTCGAGTTATTACAATAATAAAATAGTATTTCATGTTGAACTTATCTTGTTACAAAAAATTGAGTATCTAGTTAAGTATCCTTTGTAAATAAATTAAATCAATTACAAATGACTTACTTGAGAATGATTGTATACCATTTCTTTTCGATTATAGAAAAGCATTTGCACGAGCCACGACTAATATTTTAAAAATATTAAGAGATTCTTATTCATTTTAGATGCTATAAACAATGTCAGTACTGTAATCGGTGGTTCCTTATTGTTTAACAATTATTCTATTTTATTGTTAATTTTTTTTGCTCCTACAAGAATACCACCATAATCTATCTCATCAAATCCAGATTAGTTAGTAATCTCTTAATCTTTATGCTAGCTACCATGATCTGACTTATTCCTGTCTCGTGGATCGATTTAATTCATGCGCCCATCTACTTTAAATATAATTATTAATAATTCTACTCTTTTAAAAATAATTTCATTGTATAGTATCTTTTTTAAAATTCAGCTGTCCAATATTTTAATCATTATATTATTAAATAAAATTTTAAGAATTAATTTTTTTGTATATTTGTAGGCAGTTTATTATAAACGGTGTTACAAGTATTTGTATCGATTATTTTATCTGTTATAATTCTTTTTTTTTTTTTTTTTTTTTTTTTTTTTTTTGTTTTTTTTTTGTTTAATGAATAAATAATAATGAGATAACTCTGTTTTTTCAACGTTTAAATTAAGAATGTCTAAAGATGAATATATGATGTATTAATACGGACGTATATTTTAAATATCTAAAATAAATATATACAATAAATAAATATACAAAATAATAGTAATAATAGTGAATATCTCATGTCTGATATCAATGATATTTAAAATATAAATATATAAATTTAATAGTGACGCTTAATATGCGTGCATAGATCTACCACGAATGCATTCATACTTATATAATTATATTACTTATTAATGAAAAAGTAGATTTATATTTACAATATTATATTCAACATATTGCAATTGTGTAAAATAATTTTAACAGTTTCGGTAATTAACCGTTTTTTACTAAAAGGTAAAAATTTACATTTTTAAAGAATTATAATCCATTGCTAACCTAATTGATATAAAATAGATATTTTTATTGAAACTCAATTTATGCATAATGCATTATATATTATATAAATTATATTATATTCTTAAGTATGATAAGAATATAATTAAGAAAACTAAAAATAGCGTATTTCTATTTGTAATAAAATTAATTTTAAATAATAATTTTAATATAATTTACAAACATAGTTTTAAAAGAAATATAGAACTTTTATACAATGTTAATAATTGAAAAAGTGATAATTTAATTTTTTGTTTTTAGTACATGTAGTAGAGTTATATATAACTACAATAACTATTATTTAGTTATTAATTACATATACTATATAAAAAAATTAAGAGTAACTTTAATAATAAATATAGGTATATTTTTCATAAAATGACATTTACATTTATAAGAAAGTTACATTTGTTGTTTGCTAGAAATTATGAAAAATTGCGTTCAATTTTTACTTCAAACTATAAAAATTGTTTAAGAATTAGTTATTAATTCGTGTATCATTTTTCTACACAATCAATAGATTATTAATACATTTTCTTTTAATATATTATATAACTTATTTTGAATTTACAAAAATAAATTGTTACTTAATTTTTAAGAATTAATAACATTCATTGTCATATTATTGCGCACAATAAAATAGATTCAATTAATTTACGTATAGGAGAAAAAAATATTTAATTATTTCTTAGAAGTAGTACACTATATAACAAAATTTACTTTTTTAATTTATTTAAAAATATTTTTTCAATTTGATAAATTGGCATGCATAACATTTTTTATTCTACCTAATTATTTATCATTATTATATTTGATTAAACTATTTATACCTAATTATATGATTAACATTTTTTATTTATAAATAATCTTAAAACAATTATACAATTTTTTCTATTTATTTCAAATTTAATTATTCATGCAATAAATAGTCAATGTTCTAGTATTTATTACATCTCATAATCATTCGTAATTTATCACACTATTTACCTGTCATATGAATTTTTATTATTGTTATTATTATTATTATTATTATTATTATTATTATTATTATTATTATTATTTGGCCATTTTTCAATTACCCTGTATGATATTAATTATAAATTTTGTTAATTTTGGAACTGTTTTCAGTTCGATAAATTTACTTTATACCTTGAATATACGTAAAATTCTTTCTTATTATCGACTCATTATCTATTTATAGAAAATCTTATTATTACATTATTACATGCAACACTGTTAACATTATAGATAAGATAAACTATACTAATTAAAGTTTTGTCTATAATGCAATTTCTAATTTTTTTTTTTTTAATTCTTGGTCTTATAAATAAAAATACTGAAGTTTTTTTATTATACTTCAAAGTTGTAATTGAAAAATTGCTATCTAAATATATGTTTTTATAATTCGTCGTGTAAAATCTATTAAGAATAACGCAAATAATAATAAAAATTATATTTTATATTATATTAAAAATTGCATTTTATATTATATATTATTTTAATGAGTTTTTTATTTACGGAGGATTAAATAATAATATATTATTTAAAAATCTTATTCTAAGCCAATAAAAATCTAATTATCCAATTATTTATTATTTATAGTATAAGCAAATATTAATGATGAGAAGTCCAATGGTTTTCAATTGATGTTGTATTATTACAGAAGCTGTTTAATTTGTTAATAATTAATAATTAATATTGAATCTATTAGCTTATTCTTAAATTTGAATTTATTATTTTTTATTTCATAATTTTTCCATATAGCGATTACGGCTTAGATGGGAATGTTATTTTATCGATAGATAATAAGAGCAAGTAAATAAAAAAAATTTAGTCTAAATTCTTTTTTTATCAATGTAAGTGAAATTATATGACAAATTAGTTAGAACGATTTTTCTTAACAATGTTACTTAATTATTTTATTACAAATATATTATACTTCCAAAGATAATTGCATTGCTAAATAAAAAAAAAAAAATTTTTATTTATGTTTTTATATATCTTTTTCTCAATATAATAATGAATTTTGATTCTTATTAAAAGCATTGTTAAATGTTTTAATTGTTAATTTTTTTGTTGCATAATTTGCCTACTATTTTTTATAGGCTTTATTACAGTGACTTGTTGTATATTAGAATATTTTACAAATAATCACTTTCATAAATATTAAGAATCAAAAGGACATTTATTGCAAGTAATTATATTTTATTAGGGAAATAATTATAAATATTTGTATTGAAACAATCAAAATAGTCTTTTTATTGATATAGCTATGATTTTTAATTATCTAATATAAAAATTCAATTGTTTAGTTTATATTTTTCATTCAGCTGAATGTAGCTGTAGCATAACATATACTAATTAGGTGTTATATCTTTCAAGCTCCATTGATAAATTATATTTTTTATAAGGAATATTTTTCTGTATTTTTAAAATATTTTCTGTATTTTTACTTGTTTTTAATTTCCTACACGAGTAAAATATTATAATACATACGTAATTCATATAATTGTTTTGCTTACTTTTTTTCCATAACTATTATTCTCCACGTAGATATTTATCTAAACGGTATTTTACAGTAAAGTATATCTGTATATTTATATATATATATATATATATATATACTATATATATATACTATATATACTATATATATACTATATATATTATATATACTATATATCTGTCTAACTATTCTGATTATAAATACGATATTCAGAATTCTATTCGATTTGATTCACTTTGATAAAATATCATATCTTTCCTCAGATTATTAGTTTTATAGATTTTTCAAAATAATTACCATTAGTAATAAAAATATAAATCTCTGAAAATATTACAACTCTATTAGTACTGGTTGATAATTGTTTTTTGAATTGACTTTATATGCGTATTTAAGAATCCACCGAATTTAAATAAATGAATATTTTCACTAACTCGCATACATATTTTCCAAGTAGAATGAAAAATTATTATTTATAAATATTAACATTAAAATTGATTTTTATATACATTTTGCTCTCATTGTTAATTATTAAGTATTTATATGCTTTACATTATAATGAAAAGATTTTTTAAAAAAAATTATCTTGACCCGTAAAAGATATACTTTTTGGAGAAGTAAAATTGAAGTTTCAAATTAATTAGTAAAAATTAGATTACGAAATATGGCATTAATACAGAAATATTTCCAATTGAAATAATGCGTAATAAATAATGAATTTACTTAATAATGCTTTCTTATCACGGATTTTCATTAATTCATTAATTCATTAATGTACATTTTATTCTTGATTAAGGCTATGGATAATTCGTCGTTACTCGCAATACAAGAAACTTGCCGATGCCCTTTATATACATATACAATAATAATAAATTCACTGATGAAAAACTCTCACCTGGCAAAAGAACGTGAAAATTAAACGAAATTAGAATATAGGTATTATGTGCGTAATAAAGGCAAGTGAGTGCTTTTCACCTCCTTTGTGTATGTAGTTCTAAAATTTGAAAATATCTCTGCAGTGGCACTCTGAGTCGGCAATTATATTGTATATTATACACGCACTTTTACATTTTCATAATCCAGTATGTAATGTCTCGTACGCCAATAGGCAGATGTATCAGAGCTTAATTTAAGAAGTGTGAAACACTTCAACTGAAGTAGTTGATCCTCTTGCTGTGCGAAAGATAGGCGAACCAGTAGAAGAGGTTGATAGCGAGAAAAAAGAGGGGAAAGACGAGTCTGCTTGCCCGGTCGATCTTCGAAACGGAATTATACCTGGGCATTCGGCGATGATGTCTCGCAGATCGTCGCTGTCGCTGTTGCTGTTGCTGCTGTTGTTGTTGCTGCTGCTGCTGCTGCTGCTGCTGCTGCTGCTGCTGCTGATGGTGGTGTTCAGAGTCCGAGTCGCTCGATTGGGGGTCATTTTCCGTCTCCGAGCTGAAGTAACACTCACCTGAGCCGTACTTCGTGAAGTAGTGCACCACTGCGAACTGGATTATCGTGGCGAATATGAAGCTAAATGACAGGAACACGAAGAAATCGAGAGCCGTGGGGTAGGGCACCTTTGGCAGATCCGTACGAGCCTCGAGGCCGAGGAACGTCATCGTCAGAACAGTTGTTATGCCTGTAGATATTATTCAGAGATTAGTGTCTATAATGGGAATGTTTTGTATTTTTCTTTAAAGTATACTTTTAAGCGTAGGATTAACGTATTAATTTATTTCTCTTCTGTATTAAATGAGTTTCGGAAGAACTAATTCACTTTATAATATTTACGACATAAATAAATGCGAATGAAAAGCTTTAGATTTGCAATTGAATTTATAAGTCAAGAAGTCCGTGCGAAGATTTAATCTTTCCTTTTAAAATATTATTAACGACGAAAACTATATAACGAAAGACGTAAATATTTTTGTTAATTCACGTGTTATTATAAATTTGAAATTCTATTTTATTGTTCATTTTAAAATGTATAAAAGTGTTTATTTGGTCAATTGTCAAATTTTGTCAACGATGCCGTTCGAAGCAAAGTTAGTAGTCTAAATGTGCCTTCAGAACATTGAATACACTAATCATTATATTCAATTTAAGGATAAAATATTTTATATTATTGTATTTCGTTAAACAATAATTCCATTTGGTGTAATTAATTCAATCCCTAAGTTTTTATTTGTATATACCGATAAATGTGCATGATTACACAGGCCCGTGTGTGTGCGTGTGCGCGCGCTCGCATTTATGCACGTGAACATACGCGGCAAAATACATTGAATTTGAGCTTTCACAAGATGATTCTCGTAATTAAAAAAACATGTATTGTAAGTATATAGATTTCCTAGCTACTGATACTATCTTGTCAGTTGTCGAGATTACAGCTCAAATTCAATTTTATGATTAAGAGTTTTAAATTACTGACTCCAGAAATCAATAGCATTTAATTTTCATCAAAATATTTTCATACTATCTTGATGACTTGTTTAATTATTAATTGCAATTTATTTATATAAATATGCAGAGCTTGATGAAAAAACGGAAACATTTTTCTTTTTCTATTCTTTAGTTCATAATCAATTGAATAATATAATGATATAAAACAAAACAAAATATTATTCTAAATTAAATACCAAGTGAGACGCGGTCAGCTGTAGCCTCTCTATTCAGCCAAAAAGAGACCCAAGACAAGACGACAAGTAGTACACAGGGTCCGTATACCTGAATAAGGAAGTTTCCCATGTGCCTCTTCAAATGAAACGACACTAGTAACATTGAGTACTCTGCAACAACCGAATCTGCATGTACGCCTTATTATTTTAGAATTCGGTAATATTGAAATAGAACTGTTCTATCTAGATATTGTTATATTTGTATGTTATTGGGCAAAGTTTTGCAGTCATAAGACAATATAGAATTTAGGATTCAAATTCATTTGATAATGTGAAGTAATATGATAGTATTTGTTACAAGGAAAAACATTAAACAGTGATAAACTTAGTATTAAAGTGTATTAAAAGTAACCATTATCCATACAATTGTTTATAGTTTGAATTTTTTCTCTTGCCAAATGTACACAAATCCAAGATTGTACCAATGGTAAAAGTGTCCTTTATTCAAATGTTCATATGCTTAAATAAGTATTTCTTGTCTTAAAGTTAAAGAAATAAAAAATAATATTTGCTAAATTATGCATTTTGTCTTCTTTTTTATATCTCGAAATTTAATAATGTAAAAACTTTATATATATATATCATCAGTGAATTGAAAATTGCCATTTAATATTTAAATAATCCAAGCATAAAACTTTTGTAACATCTTGTGCTGCGAGCTTGAGAGATAATGAAGGAGACATAGGAAAATTAGATTTAGTACGCTGTTCAGTCAATAACCGCTCAATCAGTTTAGCCACTGTAATGATTAAAGAGAGGCACTACTGGGTGAAGCATTGCATATATCTTTGGCATTTGCTTTTCTTACTTCGTAAACGTTCAGGAATCTGGCAAAGCTTTTCGAGTACATCGTGCGGTTAGGGAAATCGTCAACAAAAGCAGCATAACTTTATTGCAAATGTATGCAGGCGTGTGCATATGAAAATAAATACACAAATCAATACATTTTTAAATAATTTTTTTAATTTAAATGAACTTTGAGGACTGGAAAAATATTTGGTTGAGATAATTATGGGTGAACTTATCTGTCAAAAAGAATTATAAAATAATAATATCGATTGTTTTATATTAAAAATTAAGGCAAATAATGTATATATTTAAAATATTTGATGTTTTTAAATTTAAATATAATTTTAAAATATGATGTATTTAAAATATTTCAAAATTATTAATCATAAAGTTACTTTGAAAAATATACAAATTTTTAGATAATTTCTTAATCATCTCTCGGTATAACATTAATTATTTCATTAATAAATTTGCAAATTGTTTTACAGTTTGAACTATAGTAAGTTGTTGGTAGATGAATCCATTGGAACTTTATATTTTAATTAAAATGAACCTTACTTATTACTAACTTTACTTCATAAACTAGGCGTAATTACTTATTTTCATTTAAGAAAAATTTGATATTAATCATACAAAAATTCATATTTTAATTAACAATTTTTATAAATAAATTCCAAACTTTATGAATAATTCACTATCAACTAATAATTTAATCTATTTAATTTACATAATATTTTTTTATGCTTCATAAAATCTTTGCCCATTATATTTGATTGACATATGCACTCATCGATTGAATAAGCATGTGAAGGTGAAACGAAAATATGATCGACTGAACACAAATATAACAAAAATATAAGAGAAAAAGGTGAAAAGAGAAAGAGTAATAAAATTAAAGTTGAAGAAAGAGAAAAATATTACTGTTATGAGACTGACGTTAGAATCGCATGATACTTCTCTCTTTCTCTATATATCTTTCAATATATTTGCATACATTTGTTCAATCACTCTACAGGTCTCAATTATTTATAAAATTATTTTAAGATATAAATAAGATAAGCTATCGTAATAAAGGTGAAAAAGTCGCAAAACATATACATATAAACTTTTTGATATGATTTTTAATTTAAGTATTATCTTACCATAATTTTTTATTTGAAACTAAATTCAGTTTTCTATTTAAGAGCTTTTTTTTTTATAGTACATAAAGCATCTTATAATTGGTCAAATCGAATGCCTTTAAAAAGCTTTGTATCGAAGTAATAAGTATAATTAAATTCTCAAATTATTCCGAGACTTTGATGTTAGGCCTAGTCTCTTTACAGTTAAAATAAAAAAGTATTAGGAAGTAAAAAAATTCGACAGAATTAGTTTTTCGTATTATCTTCAATTTTAATCAATGTTCAATTGACGCGAGAATTGAGAGAAAATAAATACATAAATGCCACATCAAAGGCAAATATAGGTATTTGATATTATTACATTAGCAAAAATAATAATGATTATTTAGTTCTATTTTAGTTATTCAGCTTTTCTACAATATATACAAGACATTCATTTCAAGGTGTTCATTATATCTAAATTGATCAGATTATTTAAATGGTTAAAGTTGCTCATTTGAAGATGCACATCGAAAGACTTAATTTTGTATGATGATAGAGGTATTAATAGATATTACTCGATGTTATAATTGACTCATAGTATTGGCAATTACAGATTTAACAGTTACTACATTTTATATATTTAAATAGAGAATTTAACAGCAAGTCACGATTAGTATATTAATAATAATATTATAACCAGTAATGTTAGAATTACGAATAATGAAATTGATTTTATTCCGTTCATTTTTTATATCTTTTATCTTTCTATAACTTTAACATTAACATTCCTTTAATTCAGCAATTCTTTGATCTTTTTTAATGTATCAGTTGTCCTGACATTATTTGCTATTTTTTTCAAGTCCAAGTCAAAAATAAATTTATGTAATTTTTTTATACGACTTTTTCATAGATTATTGTATACATTATATAATTGCATTAATTTATTTTATTTATTACGCATATCAACATATTATATAAATTAATTAATTTCAGTTTATTTTCCGAAATTATAAGTTCTACATACAAAGCTAAATTCTTAACTTTTTCATTAATTTTCTTAGAAATTTTTACAAAATATATTATAATAATAAATAATGATATTAAATTAAATGAGCAAAATTGTTATTTTTAATTATTCGATAATTTACTCAGAAATAAATCATCTAGATGTAATGAAACCAGTTGACGTATATAAATAATATATTGCTTAAAAATATAAAATTTTAATAAAAACAAGTATGTCAAAGAATATGCTAATCGTAGAAAAGTGTAGAGGAAAATAGCGCAGGTAATAGATAACGAAGCGCTAAAAGTATTTTCAAAACCGCCATGTCGAACAGCAATAAAGCGCATATAGAGTACAAATATAAACATGATGTATACAGAAAAAAAAAAGAAAAGAAATAGATATACCGACATCTGTATGGAGTATAATTGCAAAATAAAGTAAGAATGATAATTCAGTAAATAAAAGAGTGAATCTAATTAAGGAGAGAAAAGTGAATTCATTGGTACAAACAAAGAAATAAGAAGATGTGAAATTGCTCGTATAAGGGAGATACAAGATATAAGCTGGACATAATCGTATTAAATCAAAGTAACGTAAAGGAGGTAGTAAAATGAATTGATAAGCTAACTGAGAAGATATTTTATAAATACAAGAAATAAAATTGGGAAAAAATTGAAAGCGTGTAGATCATAGGCAGATAGATTTAATCTATAGTAATAAAAGGCGAGGTCGTGACTGCAATAAAATAGTAATTGATATTATGACTCTAATAGCCCAAGACCGTAAATGGTTAATTTAATAGAATAAAAGATATAATTATAGAGATAATAACACAGGAAATCGAGACATTATAACAATAGAAATTATAACAAAAAAAGTAGCCTGAAAAGTGACCCGGGGAAGTAGATAGATCAGGTCAAATAATAATAGTAACCACCAAAATTATACAATTAGCTGATAATAAAAATAAAATTACCTACTTACTAATACTCAATGACTTTTTCTTCAGACATATTTTATTTATACATTTCGAAAGAAAAATTAATATACAAGTGAAATAAGAATTTAAAAATCATTCGTGGATATTTTTTGAAATTCTATAAATATTTGTATTAAATAACAATAACATTGTCACGAACAGTGTATTAAAAATATATTTAAAAGTAAAGAAAATTAAAATCGAATAAAAAGAGAACGAGTAAAATGAGAAAATAATAAATAGTTAAATTGTAAGAAGTAGAATATACATTATGATTAGATAAAATGTGTCATGTTTATAAACAATATTCATAAAAATTATCTTATCGACAATAAAATGTTTATATTTTGTAATGCTATGATTTTCTAGGTATACGATATTAAATTATTTTCAATGAATTAACGCTTCGAGCCATATAATAAGGATTGTCATATTTTAAATGGTTATTTCATAATTAGCAAGTACATTATAATTTACAAGTGTCGCGTGTATTAAGTGACAACGATTCAAAGCATAAATTGAAAAGTATATGTAGTTATTGCTTATTTATTTATACTTTTTTAATTTAATTTAATTTAATTTTTTTAATTCAAATAAATAAAGAATGAAATAATTCTAATAATTAATTCTAATAGAAATCAGTTCATACATTTTTTAGAAAATGTGCATCAATATAATCAAAGTAGCAGAATGGAAGAGCGCAAGTGGTTTACTAAGATTCACATTAGTAAGCAGCATTGTGCTCTCGACTAGAAACAGCTTTCGAGGACGCATAGCTAGCAAGAAATGAGCAGTAATTAGCTTATTTTAGATATTTAAGGACTGCGCTTTAATTGAAATAATAATAATAATAATAAATAGTATTAGTAGTAGTAGTAGTAGTAGTAGTGGTGGTGGTAGTGGAGGTGGTGATTGTGGTGATGGTGGTAATGGGGGTGGTGGTGGCGGTGATAGCGGTGGCGACACTAGTAGTGTAGTAAAGAAGATAACAATAGTAGTAATAAAAGCAATAATAATAATAATAACAATAACAACAACAACAACAATAATAATAATAATAATAATAATAATAATAATAATAATAATAATAACAATAATATTCAATATAATATTAAACGAGCAATAATAATAACAAATGCTTTATTATAAACGATGCTTAATAATGAATAGGTTGATGGTGCCGATGGATCAAGCGATGCTTACGATGCCATTATCAATTGTAGCTTCTACGTCATGCAATTGATTTAATATATTACAAAGTTTGTAATTGGCTTACTTTGTGATAACGTAGAATCAGTGGAATTGGCGGTAGGATTACCAACGAGATCGAACTGCGAGAGTTTCATGTCGTGGGCAATTGCTACTTGCCTTGCACTATTCCACTTGTATATTACGTCGCGAGTCGTGTATCCGTCTATAAACAGGAAATAGCAGAGCATAAATACTATTTAACATTTTCCTCGACTATTTTACATCGCAAGATTAATTAGAAGCATATCTGACAGCTTATACATCGCTCGATTGATAATGCGTTGATAAGCTGCGTATAACAATTTCAACATATTTATGTGTATTGGAAAATAACATTTTTTTCCTATCAGTCGGTTATACAATTCGGACCTATGATTTATAACAATTTTTTCTTTTATTTGCTTTGTACAATTGTGATTCATTATCATATGGACTGTTTGATTAGAAAGAGTTTGGCGTGTTAAGGAATCGAGCATATCTTATTAAAAATAATTTAAATATACGATTATAAAAATTCCTTATGCGAAATACTTATTCTTTCAAAGTTAATATTCTAAGAATTCAATATTTTTCATTTATCGAGATCTTGACTTTTTGTCTATTTGAATATATTAAATATCTAATAGGTTACATTATCTTTAAGTGCTACTAATAATTTACCCTTAGCAAGTATTATTGTATAATTAAATTTTCGTTCAATTACTATTTAATTAGAAGGGAAAACACGCGCTTCTTTTAAATTAATAACGATCCATTTTAACAATTTTTTTTCGTTCAAAATGTTGTTTCGACACTATAAAAAACGAAAATATGAAAAACCCGTAGTATACTGAATTATTATTCCATGAATGTAATAATTATTGTTTTTTTTTCGGTTTAAAATAAAAATTTGCATTTCATTGTTAAATCTACTTAACTATTCGCACAACTTACTTTAAAGGGAACAATTTTAGTGCACAGGACACAGGCAACACAGAGTTTTGAACTATACAAGCACTGACGGAGCTATTTAAATTTGAAACTTTTTCATTGTGTAAAAAAGAAGGATACCATCAAAAGCGTTCAATCGTCAATGGACTTTTTAGTTAATTAAGCGTGGACGATTTTGTGTAGTATTAGTGAAATTTTAGCACATCAATACTACCGCTATATGGATGTAAGGATAAAAGTCATAATGCTTATCTATCACTGACAGCTTCCAAATTTAAGTGGGCACTGCTGAGTATCCATAGGGAAGTCCTCGAGATTCATGGGGCAGGCAGCTTTGATGGTGAGCCTGCAAAGACAAATTCCAGTCTTGGATGTGTCTCGGTCGCGATAAATCCAGGGTGGAAGGTTCGATCACCGAAGAGGGAAGAAGGGCGAGGGAAAAGCCACTCGAATCCTCGCGCGTGCACTCGCATCGCAAAATGTCAATTTACGAATAGGAATTTCGAGCGAACATTGGCGCGAAGATGACCTCTCCTCTTCCCTCCTGGCATTGACCGCGGACAATGGAAGGGCTGTGAACGGACTGAAGGGTCGGAGCGTTTGACGAACGAGATGGGGCACATGTGGTACGACTTTCACAAAATTCTGGGAGATTAGTTGTGACGAATGAGGCCAATGCGATTTATCAGGGGGAGATGAGACAAAGGACGATTCTGAATCGACGCAGAATTTTCTAAGAGATTCAAACGGCAAAGCTTCGTGATTTTAAATGCATGTTTTGTACCATCGCGTAACAAGATCCAATTTTCAGAAGTTCGTCATATCCTACGGGCGCGTCAAAGTCTCAATGTAGGTCGAAATATATTCCATGTGGACAGTTAACTAATCGATTGTTTTCAAATTTTACTTCAAAAGTTACTTTAATTTAAGGGGAAAAGTTGGAGAATATTTCAATTTAAATTCGAATCTTTATTTATGACCAGAGCAGTGAATATGTATTGAGTATTGAAATTTCCGTTTTCTTTATTTATCCAATTTGATAATGATGATAATGTGGGTTTTGTGTGTGTGTGTGTGTGTGTATTTGTGTGTGTGCGTGTTTGCGCGCGCGTATGTGTGTGTGTGTGTGCGCGTGTGTGTGTGCGTGCGCGCGTGGGCGTATGTCAGTACATTTTATTGAAAAACTTTTAAAAATTTTGTAATATTTATTACAGAATGCAATTTTAGCAATTTTCAAAATTGCAATTCATTTTCAATTCATAGACGTTCAATGAATGTTGTACATTTTTCATTTCATAATTATCTTATGATTGTCTCGATATTCGTCGTGCCATTTTATATTATGATTTCAGATCTCGATTCACTACTACAAGTGACTTATTATATAGAGAAGAATTTATTTTAAAAATGAATGAAAATAGAAAATTTTCAAATAAAACTAGCGATACAATCGGACAATCTATCGTTACGAAACCGATAATAGAAAATTACTCCCACATTACATCATTCCGTTAATCATGCAATTAAATGATTTTAATTTCATTACACACAAAATCGATTATACCAGAAAAATCGATAGGGCTTGCGATACACATTTTTCTTTGAAAAATACCGTAAAACTGAAGTAAAGCGAGAGTTTTTTTTAATACAATTATAGTACCTCGAGCTGTAAAGAACTCGGCCATCCTGATAGAGCCTGACGAATTTGTTAGGGCTAGTGATGGTGTGTAGGTAACTCTGTTTGCCGTTGTAGAAGTAGGTATCGGGTTTCCAGATGCGAGCTAACATCGAGATCGACAAGGCCAGGGTCTCCTTGCCTCCTTGGAAGGCGAGTCGCCTGTCGACCCACGACTGACGAAAGTAACAATCCATCGAGTAGGTCTGCGAGAAACGAGGGAAAAAGGTCTTTTATCTTTTATCTTTTCTTGATATAGTTCTTAATAGTTGCCTTTCACCCTTGCAATTTCAAGGTTTTTTTTTTTCTAAAATGTCTTCGTATTAAATTATCATCGTCTCGCTCAATGAAGAATTTAATCGTTATTTTTTAAATAATTTACAGCCTTCTTGCAATTACAAAATAAAATATTAATATTCATGGAACATAATCCGTGTATTTTAGCAAGTGTAGTGGCTAATTACGTCGAACGGGAAATACCTTTACATAAGATTGCTTGTAAATCAAGTTATTTATTAAATTATTATATTTTTACAAGATTATTAAGAGTATCATTGGGGCTCCGTTAGGGCTAAAAGGAACCCTGACAGCAACAAGATATCTAACTCCAAAATAAATGTTTAAAACTTGTGCCATAATTTAAGATGCAATGGGAAATTAGTAGAACTTAAACTTGTAAAATTAGTAGAATTTAAAGGTTCGATTATTTATGAAACACGAATGTTCGTAACTATGAATATTAGGATATTTTTGTTATAAATGTTATAAATATAAATATTACAAATTAGGATATTTTTTTTATATTTTTATTAACCTTTTTATAATAAAAAATTAATTTTTATAAGTCATTATGCATACATAAATATTTCTGTGTTTCATTACTTATTAAATATACTTATCACGCGACTTTTATAAATTAAAATAATATATTAAGAAATATTACAAGCAATGCTATTCTAAAATAATGTTTCGCCGATAATTCTATTTTATTATTATCTATAATATTAGGAAATTAATATTACATTTTTTTACGAAAAATTTAACATCTCGCTATAAATCACTCTACCTAAAAATTGTATTTGTATTGTTTCGTCAATTACGCTTTTAACCTGTGAAAATGTATGCATATTTATTCAAAATTAATATAAGAAAACGATGTTGCTTTCGAATTTAATTTCAATTAATCAATATTTTCTTATTCTATTATTATTTATTAAATATTTTCATTGAAAAGCATTCCGCTTATTTTTACACTCTAACTGTACTTGATAAATTATTACAAATAGTATAATTATCTTTAATATTAATTTAAAATAATATAAATCTAGCCAAATTCAAATATTATTTCAGCTTTATCGTACTTAATTATTATAGACAGAACGTGAAGTTTATGTCATCGCAATGTAGTTATATTACAATCTGTTAGGTGAATATAACTTCAGAAGAGATTTAGTTGATCCGGATTTAAGAACACTGATGTACGTAATTCTATATTATAAGAAAATCAATAGATTCTAGATAATTATAATTTTCTTTATAATATCCTTTGACATCGACTTTTAGTAATCAATAAGCCGTTAGGAAATATAATAATCAATTTTCATGCACAATTAATGTTTCATTTTACTGCGGATAATAGCTTTTCTTTATTATAAAGAATACGATGAAGTATTTCATCTTTCGTAAAAAAAAAAAAAAACCATTTCAATAGCGAATCTAATCAACAAGACCCTTATTAATTTTGTTTTTATTTTTATTTTTATTTAATTTATTACATACACACATATATATATATATATATATATATATATATATATATATATAATTTTAAAGACAAATATTGAATGCGAATGGTTTAATAAAATTATCAGGATAACCATTTAGCCTTGGTAATCGCTAGGATACCGTGACTGATAGACACAAAACCACTTGCTATTCGAAGCTGAATCACGTGCAGCTGTCATATGTCCTTGTCTCTCGCGCTCGTGTCGCCATCGGTTTCTTTTTCAATTCGATCGCGGCTTTCCGAAACCTCCTCTCGATCAAAGCTCATCATCAGTTGATATCACCTGTGACCATAATCCTAAAACTCACCATGTCGACCTCGGATATGGGCCCCATGCTGCGCACCATGATGTCGACCTCGACGGTTGCGGGTGGCCCTCCGAAATCGGGCCTCACGCTGTTATCGTAACCCCGGAGAAGATTATCCAGGAGTTCGCTGATATTGGCGTGGTTGTTGCTCTGGGTACGCTCGCGTCTCGGCACCGCTGCCGCTCTGCGTGCAAGGGACGCTTGGTTAGAGGGTAATGGGCTCACGGTTGTCAAGGAATCATGTTTAGGATCATATCGTATGTAATGCGAAGACGAGCCTATTACAAGGATTTTATTTCCAGTGGATGAATGAAATGCTAGTGGATGAGCGAGTAGGACACATACGGTAAAATTGCGATAAACAGAAATTTCCTGACCCAATTGCTTGAGCGTATTTTACCTGTGACCGACTAACTGCAGGCTAAAATTTACTTAACTTTTAGTTAGGCAGACCTTACTCGCCTGTCAGCTTAGAGTCTCACTTACGTTTCTCCATTCGGTTAAACTTTTATCGACACTTCCCCTCATTGTCTTTTGTTTCAAATTGTTTCGATAGTGTTTACTTATTATCCTGCATAAGAAAAATCTCACATCACCTATACAATAATTAGCTCTGCACAAAATATTAGGAACTTTTCTTCATAAGAGGAACTTGCATTACAAATATATATCATCATTTTAATTATAATTTATTATTATGTATTTAATGTAAAGTTAATATTTCATTTTACTTCGGATGATAGCTTTTCATTATTATAATGAATACGATGGAGTATTTATTATTACAATATCAGTAATGTACTATAATATTAAATTCTAACAGAAGATTTTATTCGTAATGGCAAACTACTGAATTATCCGCAGAACTGATTATTGGCCTTGCTGTAGACATTGTTTAATTTTATTTTTATGATACATTTAGGTTATATAGAAGAATCCGCATTTTTATTTAAAATTACAATATTCAATAAAAGTGATTTTATTCGATTTATTACATCAAACAATTCTCTTTATAACCGTTTATGCTCCACTGAAGCAATGTAACATATTGTAATACAATATAATAATAAATGGCGACTACTCATTTTAATTAAGAATGTTAATTTATGTATTACTATTAATAAAAATTAGATTATTTCAGCTACTAAAAAAGCAGAGATGAACTGTGTAATAAATGAATAAAGAATAAAGAAAATTTTTTAATTTTATTATGGCATTTTTCATTGGATTTAAAAAATTGCAATGCTTATGATGATATTTATATATCGAGTAATTGATAAAAATTGAAATTATTCATTAATTTAGTAAGCTTTTGTACATACAAATAATATATGATACAAATCAAATGTAAAAAAAAAATTGATAGCAGTTTTCAAAGGGCACTATTACTTAATATTATAATAATAACTACGATCATTAGTAGGAGTATTCGATTAAATATATTTTGCTTACATTAACAATTACTGCTATCATTTTAATAATATAATTAATAATTTCCATATAATTATTATAAAAAAGTAATATGAAATTAAATCATTTATTTAATATATCACATTTAAAGAAAAAATAATTCTTTATTTCAATATTTTAACTATTTGTTAAAAGTTAAGTTATTATGGATAAAAAATATATGAATAGGAGATAATGAAATTTATTATGAATAACAATGTAAATACGAATGCAGGCGGAATATATAGTAATAAATTAACATTTTTAATATACTGATATTATTAAAATAAGTATAAAAGAAATATACTATAAACGTGTTTGCATACATAGATATATTAAAGCCAGACTTTGATAAACCGAATATAGTTAACAGTAATTTGAAAGTTTATACGGATGGGATTGCGAATTACGAAATATAAGTTTATTATCAGAAAAATCTAAAACAAATCATGAATTCAATGCAATTATTCTATTGAATAAAATCACTTTTTGATAATAAATTCTTAAGTAATAGGCCGTCGACAATGTATCAAAATATCTCTTAATAAAATTTAAATTAAAAGTTGTATCAACACATTTTTTTACAAATTATAATGTACAATTAATATATGCATGATTATATGCATTCTCAAACAATACATAAAAATATATTTCTTCATGTTTGGTGATATTGTATACATATTAAAATATGATAAGGTCATTACATTGACTATAATGTAAAAAGAAAACAAAATGAAATACAAAATAATATAAAATAATATTACAAAAATTAACAAGTTATAAATATTTAAATACAGGAGTGTTTATCGGGCTTTTTATGTTGCAGAGTAATTGAGTAATTTTTACACGAGTTTAATAATATTATTTAAAACTACAAATTTAAACAGAAATACTGTGTTGGTACAAAAAAGCAAAATTGCATGATTGAAAAAATTTCTATTAAACATCTTCATTGCTATAATATATTACCATTAAGCACTTAAGTAGTTTAAGAGAGTCTAAAATATTTTGAAATATAAATATGTATTCGTTACGTCTAAATTAAAAATATAAATATAAATGGGTTCGTTTAAAATATAATATAAATCATTAATGAGTTAAAGGCCTGACCAAAGCAGCCGTCAGTCCACTCTTACTTTCTGAATCAGTGTCCGTTTAACCAGGGTACCCCTTAACAATAGGCAACATAACATCAGATTGATCCTCCCTCCCCTCCCCCCAAACTTCACCCAGCGCGCACAATAATTATACTCACGGTCGACCAGCGTAAAAGAAGACAAGGCAGTTGACGATGAAGAAAGCGATCCGGACCTGCATGACGCCGACGTGGCTTCCTTAGCGTCGGTCCCGTTCTCCCCGAGACTTCTTCTAGAGGAAAGTGTTTTCAGCAGCTTCCCCGTACGAATGAATAATAGTCCCCGTGAATTTATCAGTTCATGAATCGTAAGATCTGAAGTTGCGATTGCGGTACACGTGCAAGAACGTCACACCATCTAATTGTAATGACCAGCATAGTCGATTGAGATACTTTGTTTTACTCGAGTATTATGCAATTCGTTCTGGCAGGAAGAGCAGATGCGCGAGAAAGGAGCCCTGTTGATTTTACTACCACTAAGTGCGAATCGCAATTAATCAACCTAAACAGAAATTAATATATTCAAATGTAATTATTACTTCTTACTTTAATATTTATACATATATTGTATATTTTGGTTGAACATATTCCTATTCTTTAACATTTAAGGTTGCTTCCCTTCAACACGTTTTTTCCAGAATAATGTCAATTATTTCTGTGATTTAAACAATTTGTATTAATATTTTTTCTACATTTTATATAAAATTTAAGATATCGGATATGCTAATAGGTCTACATTCGCAATTATTTGCAATTGCAATTGTAAATTCTAACGTATTTCATTCGTTTTAAAGCGTATCTACACAATTTATTTATACATAAAAGCCTATTTACATAACAAATAAACAAACAAACAAAAATAAAAAGAAGATAAATAAAATTGTTACAGTTATAGTAATTAGTATTTATAAACATTCAAGCTGACGGGAATTGTGCATTATAATTTGTTTGTTACTCGTTTGAGGTGAGATTTTCTTACAGTGATACACTTTCATAGAATTTTCTACAACGACATACATAAGAAAGTTAGAGCAGTTGAGTTGAAATGGGAATTGAATTATTTATGATATGGAATTTATATGTCTTAATAAGAATTTCCAAAAACTGATTTTCTCGCGAAATAATTCAATTTCAATAAATAACTAATAAGCTGCCATTCGTTGTATTAAACAATTATTATTTATTCATTTATTTATAATTTTATTAAATGATTGTTGTTACTTTATAAAAAAACATTTATACTTATAGACAATGTGTGTAGAATGTGTGACGTTTACTTGAAAGTTAAATAATTTTGCGTCTCCTTCATATCAATGTAAAATTTTGAGATTTTATCTTGACAAAATTAATAAGTATAACATTTATAAGGCAAATTATGCAGGTAAAATAAGCAAAAAGAAATTGTTATTCATTAGACGGTATTTGGTAATTACAAAAATCTTAATTTATAAGGTTATATATATATATATATATCATTGTTTTACGTATGTTTAGCAAGCGTCACAGTTAGTAACGTAAACATCTAAATAGCATAAGGGAATTTTCAATTAAAATTACTCTCTCAAGTTTAGGTCTCGAAGACAAGTTTAGGTTTTGTTAAATTATCATGCACTCGATACCATCGCATATGATTAAATTAATTATTGACGAACGATGTGCTCGGATATGATAAACGCAATCGTGGTTATAAAGATAAAAATGAAAATATTACGATTACGTAAGGACGAATTTAAAGATTATATACATCGATAGATATCGAATCTCAGTGACCTGTAAAATCGTGACATTTCACGTAAGAGGTTAGTAATGAGAGCTTCTTGAAATTCGATGATTGACGAATAGACATCTTTTTTATTTTTTGTACGTCGATGTAAGAATTTGGTCGAAAACTAAATTTAAAATATAATAATCGAATTATCCAGTCTATTATCATTTATATGAATAGAGAGTATGAGCAAGAGACAAATGGCAAGATTTATCAATCGCATCAATGTGTAAATGAAATCAATATTTAATCGGAAGTTTCTCTTTTGATGTATACAAATCCAATTGTAGCAAGTATTTTTATCAATTTATAATTGTCTTCGCAAAGCCTTACTATTTTTGATAATATAATTCCTTATATTTCTCAGTTTTTTTTCTATTTTTTTTTCTTTTCTATCTTGTTTATTTTCTTTCTTCCTCTAATTTTTAATAATGATTATACTAGTTGACGTGGTAAAGTCAACATAGACAATTTAAAAAAAATATTTTTCTATTAATTTCAACATTAAATGCATTTCCTCAATTTAAATGCTATCATCGAGTTTTCAAATTAGTTGCCTTTTAATAAGTCTTCGGTAGCAGACAGATAGTACATAGATAGATAACGAAAGTATTAAAGTATATTTAAATTTTAGCATTTCATGGATTATCCAATACTAATGTGAATTTTTAATAAATATCACCAATATGAGCATTGTGCTATTTCAACCTACTATTACAAAAGGATTGACTTTTATATTCGGCAAGCCATCGTGATTACAAAGATAGTTTCAATAAGAAGCCAATTCGTATTATAAATCACCAGCGACCGGAGCCAAAGATCTTTATAAGAAACTTCAGTCCGCGTAATCATCGGAATTTCTACGTACAGCTATAAATATGCGCAGACTCGTAACCTGAAATAGTCAAACGATTGCAGTCGAAAATGGCTAAACGATTCGCTCGCTCGCGCTAAGCGCAAAATCTACGCTTATAATGTGCACGGGCAATCAGTACTTTGTCAAAAGATTGTCGGATGCGAGGAAAAGCGTGAAAACTAGCCGCGTCAAAGGCTTGGCCCGTTTTCGGCGCAGCACTCCGGGCAATTACACATGCGACCGCGAGCAAATCAGTGAGCTGAGAGAGAGAGAGAGAGAGAGAGAGAGAGAGAGAGAATTTAACCGGTGTCAGAGGGTGCCGCCACCGGGAAAAGCGCGATAAGCGTCGATGCCCAACTTCCGTCATCACGAGCCCGACAATCGTCGCTCAACGCATATCTAGAGGGAAGCCCAACAGGGAACAGCCAGTGCTGGTTCGGGTGGGTGGAAGGTGGTGAGAGTGAGGAGGCCGGATGGCTGAAGGGAGAAGGGGAGGATATCGTTGTGTGTAATAAGAGAAGCGGAAATAGATTTTCGAGCTTTCCACGGCTGACTGTTATGGAATTTAGTTGTTCCGCTCAGGCTAATAAATGCATTGACGCGCAAAACCTTGGAAAAGTTTGAGCAAGTAGAGAAAGCCATTTGTGTAAGCGGCGGGTGATCGGTGATGAATATGTTGGCGACGTTATAATTAACCATAATATTTTATGCATAAATTTCTGATTCCCAATAATTATGGAAAAGCTAGACGAATTGTTATGCAGGAAAAGTTCAGATCTCGGTTTTGATTTATTAGTAATTTTGTAATGTAATTTTGCTAATTCTATAATACTCCTCCAAATTATTGTACTGTTATGAAATTTTTGTTAATTTTGATACCCTTGAAATTTTTATCTGATTGGTGAAAATTTTTGTTCACTTTCACATTTTATCGATTTATCGATATATATATATATATATATATATATATATATACATATACCGTGCAAATATGTATTCCATAATTATTGAATTTTAACATTATTAATAATCATATTGACATTACGGTAGGTCTTGAGTTTTCTAAATCATAGAAATTTATTTAGAAAGAAAATTTTTAAGTATTGAAAATATCTAGTGTTATAAAGCGTCATATTTTCACTTAGCTTACTTGCATGACTAATAAAGGGTTAAAAGAATCCGTGCTGAAAATCTCAAAAACTGAATTGGATTTTCCAATATTTCAGCACAACACGATTTTATTGATTAGCAAGAAAAATACTTACGATAAAATTATATAATATAATTTTAAAAGCAAAGTCTTTATTAATATATAAAAATTCTCACATTATTTCTTATTAATATATATTCGTCCTTTAAATATAAATTCGCAACATTATTACAATATATAATTTATTTAATTTTGAAGTAATAGATATTGATATTGAAAAATTTTTAAAATATTTTCATGCATTTATTCATTTAAATACATTATTTTAACTAGTCTTTGAAAAATATACATTTAGAAAATCATACGGAAACAAATGTCAGTATTCTAAAATACATAAAAAGAAATGAGGAAAGATATGCAGAAAAGTCATTAAAAATTTTTTTCGCGTTAATACTTCTCTAATTTTTGAATAAAAATACTTTACGATCGTTAAATTTTCATATTATTCATGCTTCTAACGAAGTAAATATTAATCTTACATAATACTATTTTCATGACAATTTAGATGAATATATCGAGTCAAATTAATTCTGAAGGAAATTTTTAAACTTAAAACAGAATTTTCATCAAAATTATGATAGTTTACCACACTAACTTTAATCATTATACTTCTCACTAGCATGTTGTATATTTATAGAATAAAAAGGCATGTTTAAAACGAGTATAATTCACTTGACTAAACCTTAATCAACTTTCAAGCATATATATCCATAGATTTCTTAAAAGTCTATTAGAATAAAATTACGTATTATGTGAAATATTTATTTTAAAATGTAGTGTTTTATAAAAATACTATTTTAAACTGAAAAATGCATATTTACTTTCAAAGCGCGTATGCGTTTTTCATAAACCTCTTTAATAAAAAATTTATTTTTGCTAAGCATACAGATTGTAATCAAGAAATTTAGTGATCAGAAAAGATAATTTTCCCAGAGAAGTATCATGGTTCGTGACATTATTGTAACGACAAAGTCGAAATTCATTGACTGTGTTTTGGAGGCGATACGTAAATTAGGGGATAAAAACGGTTCTATTGCGAAAGATATACTCAATTACATGCTTAAAAACAGTCAAATTGTAAAGAGAAATATCACCGTAAAGGTAAATATGTAACAATTTTAATGTCCCTATGTAATTAGTTTTTTAATGCCAGATACAAATTTCAAATTAAATTAAATCAAATTCAATTTCACATTTACAAAATTCAATGATAAATTTTTTGCAATATCATTATTATTATTATTCCTTCATTTATATACTTAAACCTCTGTTCATATTAAGCAATAGCGGATTCAATATTCTAAAAAATTGTACTTATTTATAATAAATATATTATTTAATAATACAAGCT